GTATCATCATCATCATCCTCGTCATCATCATCATCATCATCATCATCGTCATCAGCATCAGCATCATCATCACCAGCATCATCATCACCGTCGTCCTCCTCATCATCCTGATGTCGTCCTCGTCATCGTCCTCGTCCTTGTCCTCGTCCTCGTCCTCGCTCTCCTGTTATCTCCCCTCCCTCCCTGCCTTCCTAAGCCCGCACGAGCTTGCACGCTGGCGCCCGCAGTCGCCCCCAGAAAACTCCAGAGCCCTCTCCGCGTGGCGGACCGCACGGCTCGCCGGCCACCACGCGGCGCTGCTGCCCAGCTGGAGGCCTCCAAGATGGAGTCTGAGTACGGCAACTCATGGACACCACGCCCAAGATCTTCCGAAAGATCTTGGAAATTGGAACCACCATGCGAGCATGCGATCTACGCGACGCTGCTGAAGCACCGAGGCCAGCTCCAGAGTTGCTAGACTCCTGGAGGGCCAGAGTTTTCAGAGACAAGGCACTTGCCGAAATCAGAGCACCATCTGCCAGATGGGGTCCGAGTACGGCAACTCTGACAGGGGCCCAGGGGCACACACACACATACACATAAATGCACACAAATCCCAGGACTCCCCCCACTTCGTATTTCTGGGATTTCTGGGTTTTCGTCCCCCCCCCCACTTCCCATATTTTCCCAGATGTTCCTGGGAATCGGCGATCTGAAATTCATGGGAACTTCCCCTCTCAACTTGTTGGCTCTTGCGAATCGACGTTAAATCGACGCCATTCGACTTCAACTGGCGCTAAATGGACGCTAAATCGGCGATGTCTCGTCGACTACCAGCCGCCAGTCGACGAGCATGCACGAGGGCTTGCAAGGTTCCCATGCTTTGCTTCCGAAGAGTCCGAGTGTGGCAGGTTCGGATTGTGTCGACCCCGGCATTGGCTCCTGCCACCACAGGGATCGTTCAAACTTGAAGGATCGGCCGTTTCAGACACGCCGGATCAGTCGACATCGACCAGTTTTGGATCGCTGGCGGCATCCAACGTTGAACGCCATCGGCGGGGAAGCCGCTGGTCGACACGACACGAGCCTACCGAAGATGAGGTCGGAGGATCGCGCCGCATCGACGATGCATCGCCGATGCCTCGGCGATGCACCAGAGACGTCGGCCATGCAGGGGTGCCGTCGGTGTGGAGAAAGTCGGACTCCAAATCGAGCTGCATCACCGACGCATCGGCGATGCGGCGCAATCCTTCGACCACAGACAGACAGACAGACAGACAGACAGACAGACAGACAGACAGACAGACAGACAGACAGACAGACGGACGGACGGACAGACAGACAAACGGACGGACAGACAGATAGTTTAGCACGGGGGGCGCCGACGCGAGTGCAGCGGATGGTCGCCAGGGCGCTGGCAAAGGATTGACAGACTGCTCAGAGGCTGGCGTCGGGTCGCGGGCGGACTCGGAGAGATGACATGAGAGGAGCAAAAAAACAGCATCAACATACACTTTTGGAGGTCTGCGCGGACTTGGACCTGCGCTGGACCCCTCCCTGGCGCGCGGAGCGCGCCAGGGGCGGCGCTGGAGGCTCTCCTTCGAGCTCAGAGGCTGGAGGCGCGTCGAGGCTGGAATCGGACAGATGGCACCCGGTGCCACCATCGGGTCGAAGCCGGAGGCGGAGCGGAGACCTCAGATGAGGCGGCCTGGAGCAGCGTCAGGTCGGGCATGTCCTCCTACAGGCGGATCTTGGAAGAACAATGAAAAATAGCCAATACTCACAAATAATTTAAAATAGTCGAAACATCCTCCCCATACCATTTTTTGCCTACTTTAACATTCCTCCCGTACAGGGACATGCCCGACTCAAGACCAGCGCCGCCCAACGCCTGCGCCGCCGCGCCCTGGGACGGCCCGCGGCATATACGCGCCGGCTCGCGGCATCGGCGCGGGCGGGGCGCCACCGCGCGCCCCCGCGCCCGGGGCCGAACCTGCCGCACTCGCAGTGGGCCCCGCGGAGCGCAGAGAGCCTCGCCATCGCTCGGGCGCCCATGTCCCGTGCATGTTTGCGGTGGCGTGCGCTGTTTGGCTTCGCAGGGTGATCCAGGGTGCTCCCCCATGGCCCTGGACGAGGAAACACGCACACATCCAAGGGATGCCAAGGAGCAGAAAATGAGAGAGAGAGAGAGCTCTGTGCGAGTTTTTGTCCGCAGGATGGCCCAATATGCTCCTCGATGGTCCTCGCCGAGAACAAACCCCGAGATCCGATGTCGTGTTTGTTCCATTCGGGGCTCCCCGAAGTCTCGCCCCGTTCCCTGGGACCGGCTTTCCATCCCGAATCGTTTTGGACGGCCCTGGGGCCCGGCGAGGGCGCCTATAGAGGCCGAAAATTGCGAAAAACCTCCGTCCTGATGTTTCCCCAGACACTCGATCTCCGGGAATGCGCGCGCCCGAGCAATGCCGAGAGTGGACGGCGGCGCAGCGCACCGAACTCTCTGGCGGGCCCGTGCCGAGCAGCCGCCAGGCCTCTGCTGCAGGCGCACTGCGCGCCGCACTCCCTGGGCCTCCGGCGTGTCTCGGCTGCTTCGAGGCGCGGGCCGCCGGCTCCCGACCGCTTCCCTCAGGTCGGGGCCTGTCCCCCTACAGGCCGATCTTCGAGGAAAAATAAAAAAGACTCGAAAAAATGTCCCCAGATGGCCAAAAGTAGTCCAAGAATCGTCCCCCGGCTATTTTGTGACTATTTTGGAGGAGTCCCCCTGTAGAGGGACACGCCCGACTGAACACTCCCCTGGGTCCGCTCTGTGATCGTTTTCTCATTCTTGGAGACCTGGAAATGTCACTGCACCGACATTGCAGCCGTGCTGCAGCGGATTCTTGTGTGGATTTCTGTCAGTGCAAGACCCCGAAACGGCGAGTGCAAAACGAAGTGAATGTCGCATTGATTTTTGTTTAGTCTTCATCCCTGGCCCCATCGCACGACATTCACTTCGAAATCCGGAACGAAATTCTCCGGGACTCTCCAGGTAAATCCTATTGAAATCCGAACGAAATCCGCTCTGCGATGTTGGCGCCATGAGAAGTGGGCACCAACACCAGCACAGGGGGTTGCCTCCACGGGAGGATGATGATCCTACAGTCTGGTGCTGGTGATAATATGTCGGCCACCTGGGCGTCCCGAGCATTGACACCATAACCGAGAGCGGAATCATCTTCCTCGGTGGAGGCATACCGCCGATATTGGTGTTGGTGTCAACCTCTAGGCGGGCAATACTCGTCGTTTCGATATTAGGCGGAAGGGGAGGAGGGGGGGCGTCTGGCTCGGGACCTCTGCCTAATGCGACTGTTTGCAGCAGTGCATCCTGTAGGAGGAGGCTCCACCTGCTCGAAACAGGCGCCCCAAACAGCCAAGATCTACTACATGGCGGGGGGAAGGGGGTGCGAAGGCACGCGCTCATCGGCAAAACCATGAATAAGAAAACGATCATCTTGTCATCCCGAGCCCTTCTCTGACGCTCCCGAGGCCCAAGCAAGGGCTCCCAGAGGCCGAGAAAACTACGGAAACAAAAACTCAGCCTCGATGTGTTGGAGACGCTGGAGGTGTGGGCTCGCGCAGGCAGCAATCCTCCCAACTGCAACTCCACGTGCACGGGCCCCACGGTGAAGTCGGTCATGTTCCTCTGCAGGAGGAATACTCGAGAATAGTCAAAAAAGTCTGGGGACGATTGTTCGTGCTCTATTTGGAATATTTGTTGAATATGGTTTGACTATCTTGTTTTTTCTTCCGAAATCCGTCTGTAGGAAGACATGCCCGACCGAACCCCACGGTTTCACTACGTCGCAGCCGCACGGTCGCGTGGGGCGGGGAAGAAGGGGCAAATGCGAGCGAGCGCGCGGGAAGGCCTGGCAGGCGGGAAATGGGTCAGGCGCGAGCGCGCTTGAGACGGGGGAGATCCCCTCCAGTCGGCCCGCATCATAAGGATGCGCGATGAGGATGCAAGGGCCCTGGACGCCCACTTCGAAGCTTTTCGAGCGGAGCGCGGCCAACGAGAGTAGCCAAGGATGGACCGAAAGGACAAGGATGCAAGGGCACCCCTGTGAAAGATGTCCGTCCTTACTATGCGGGTGAAGCGCACACACCGCAAGAACACCTTAGAACCCCACTGGAGCCTCCGATGCCTCCTTCAGGAAGCTTCGCGACCCCCAGGCCCTCCTCCTCATCGTCCTGCTCCCCCTCCTCCCGCTCGCCCGCGCCTCGGCTTCCTGAACAGGTTCCACGTGTCCTGGCTCGCCTCGAGCTTCGCCTCGCACGACCAGCAAGGGCCTTTTCCGTTCCTGGCGGGGCCAGCTCTCGGGCACAAGAGCTGGCAAGGTGAAGGATCAGCGGCAGCAGTAATAGGAGAAAGGAGGATGAATGGAGTTGGGTGAAAGGAAAATGAAAGAGGGAAAAGAGAGTTGGGAGGGAGGACTAGGAAAGTTTCCTCATTACAGCCTTGTGCTATATGCTACGCTTGGACAAAGATGAGGGACGCCGAATCCTGCCTCAAAAGTCATCGTTCCCATTCGTTTCGTTTCGTTCCGAAGGCTGCGCACGCCAGTCCGACCAAGCGCACTTGGGCCGCCAGCTATGACCCTTGTCCGTACAGCACTACCGGACCCTTACGGAGATCCAGTAGTTACTGTCAAAGGACAATGAGCCCTCTTGTGTGAATTCCGTTTGTGCGGAGGACGACTCCCAGGGTGGCGAGATTGACCAGGTCTGAGCACGGAGGTAACGAAGTGTCATAAGTACCTCAGTGACCTCTCGTCTCGGCAACCTCGAGAACAAACTGCTGGACGGCAAGAAGAGTTGCAAGAAAGTGTGGGGAGCGTGGATGCGTTGCTGGGGTCACAGCATACTAAAAGCGTAGACAGCGTTGTGCCGGGCCCCGTCTGAATTCAAACCAATGGAGGGAGGAGGGAGAAGGTGAGAGTCTGAAGTGACCGCGGTAAATCAAATAGCATACGATTCCATGGGAAGCGGATGGCAGATAGCGTCCAATGCCATGCTGGGGTAGTTCAGTATGGGGAGTGGACGGATAAGATCGGATAAGATCGATGTAATGATCTTTCCAGCACATAGCGGACACCAGCAGTGCCCGGGCAAATAGGGCGCGCGTGCCTTGAGCCAAAGGCAACGACGCGCGAGCTACACTCCCGATCCTATATAACATCTCCCAAAGAGCTACCCTTAAAGTCGGGAGGGGAGGAGACGGTGAGTATAGCCGCGCAGCCGTTAGGATCCACAAAGGCCGCGCGCACGACTGTTTGCAAGAAAAGCAGTACGTACAGTCTGGCCTAACACCAGACTGTAAGGCGAGTTTCCTCGCAAAGCATTTTCACGCATACGCAAGATGGCCCTTTGGACATCAAAGGGCTATCGGCCCGGCTAGAGGTAAGCCAAACAGGCTATACCTCTCCGAGCAAAAGGGTATTAAAGCAAAGAGCATGAATCAATCTGAACAGGCTCGCTGCCATGCGTGAACAGTAATGCTCGTTTCCGAGGGCGCCTCTGTATTAGGCGCCAGTGCTGGCAGACTGGACCGCGGGGGCAACAAGGACAGACTAAAACTGATTTGACTTAGGCTTGTTTCTGTCCTCAGGACCCCGAAAGGGAACAAACTGCTTCACGTCATACTTGAATGACTGAGTGCCTGACATCACCTCCAAAAGCAGCTCCCGATCGATACTCCCCTGTGTATGCCCATATGCGGTCATGTCTCTAGTATCACACCACTGTACGTTGCGCACTATACCTATATCCATGAGCTCACGTATCCAGCTGATATGTCCCAGCAAAGTCCGTTCCGTCGGTATCTTAAGATCCTTGCTGGATAGAGATTCGTATATAGACCCAGCGTCTATAGTAAGGGATACTTTAATGGCTAGGCCTCCAACTTCACGCATATCACGTAGTTGTCGTGGAGTAAGTGCCCCTGCCTTGAGCTCGTGGAGAGTGATGAGCGTGGGGTAGCATTCATCCAGCTGCAAGTGCCTCAGCGGCATAGCTGGACCTCACCTGCAATCGGCGTGATTTGCATAGGCCGTCGCAAAGGTGGATGACGGATTTGCCTTGAAGCGAGTTTCCTCGCCGTAATACGTTAGCCCCACGGATACCGTAGCCCTTGGTCTCATCGTCTTCCGCCCCGGTGAGCTTCCGATACCCCGAACCACTGTGTATGTCTACTTCGCTCGTCGGTTTCATCCGAGGGAAGGTGCTGCGTTTCGGGCTGCTGATCAGCTTTCGCGTCACAGCATTCAGTCGTCTGACTTGTAGGTTGGTGGGCTCTTGGATCTTCTGGAGAGAGACCACATGCACCATAAGCCAGACTTGAGTAAGAAGGGCATCGGCGAGAGCTCCTCGCAGGCTAACGTACATGTCGGCGTTGAGTTTGGTAGCTTTGGCGTCAGCCGCCGCTCCCGTAAGTTCAGGGTGTGTGATAGGACGTAGTTGTTTAATGTACTCGTCCTGATCCATGATCACATCCACTTGTTCATTCTTGGTGTAGCGAACGGCGCAGTTCGTGTAAGAATGTGTGTTGAGCTTGCATTTGCCAAACGCCTTTTCGACACGTTGTACATAGTCATCTACGTTTTTCCCCACATCCTGAGTGGGGTTCTTGCTTTCCCAGAACACCCTCTCCTTCCCACCCACCTCCCGCTCCATCTTCCATACAGCACAATATTATTCCTACCACACACACCATACCATACCATAGTTCCTACCACACATACCATACCATACCATACCATACCATACCACACCATACGTACCATACCGTACCATACCAGACCATGGCGTACCATACCATACCATACCATATCACACCAATGCCACACAGTATCATACCATACCATACCACCAGTACCATACCATACCATATCATACCATACCGTACCATACCATACCTACCATACCATTCCATACCACTCCATACCGAAAACCAGATTACTTACATGGTTTCCTGACCCTCCCACCTCTCCAAGGAGGCCCCGCCTGAGCGAGGAGGGTATCGGACAATCATATGATTTACATGGTTTCGTGCCCCCCCCCACCCCTCCAGGGAGGCCCCGCCTGAGCGAAGATCGTATCGGAAAACCATACTATTTACATGGTTTCGTGCCCCTCCCACCCCTGCAGGGAGGCCCCGCCATAGCGAGGAGGGTATCGGAAAACCATACTATTTACATGGTTTCGTGCCCCTCCCACACCTCCACGGAGGCCCCGCCTGAGCGAGGAGGGTATCCGAAAACCATACTCTCTACATGGTTTCGTGCCCCTCCCACCCCTCCAGGGAGGCCCCGCCTGAGCGAGGAGGGTATCGGAAAACCATACTAGTTACATGGTTTCGTGCCCCTCCCACACCTCCAGGGAGGCTCCGCCTGAGCGAGGAGGGTGTCCGAAAACCATATTATTTACATGGTTTCGCGCCCCTCCCACCTCTCCAGGGAGGCCCAGCCTGAGCGAGGAAGGTACCCGAAAACCATAGTACTTACATGGTTTCGTGCCCCTCCCACACCTCCAGTGAGGCCCCGCCTGAGCGAGGAGGGTATCGGAAAACCATACTATGTACATGGTGTCGTGCCCCCCCCCCCACCCACCCCTCCTGGGAGGCCCCGCCTGAGCGAGGAGGGCATCCGAAAACCATACTATTTACCTGGTTTCGTGCCCCTCCCACCCCTCCATGGAGGCCCCGCCTGAGCGAGGACGGTATCGGAAAATCATACTATTTACATGGTTTCGTGCCCCTCCCACCCGTCCAGGGAAGCCCCGTCTGATCGAGGAGGGTATCCGAAAACCATAATATTTACATGGTTTCGTGCCCCTCCCACACCTCCAGGGAGGCCCCGCCTGAGCGAAGAGGGTATCCGAAAACAATATTATTTACAAGGTGTCGTGCCCCTCCCACCTCTCCAGGGAGGCCCCGCCTGAGCGAGGAGGGCATCGGAAAACCATACTATTTACATGGTTTCGTGCCCCTCCCACCCCTCCAGGGAGGCCCAGCCTGAGCGAGGAGGGTATCGGAAAACCATATTATTTACATGGTTTCGTGCCCCTCCCACCCCTCCAGGGAGGCCCCGCCTGAGCGAGGAGGGTATCGGAAACCATACTATTTACATGGTTTCGTGCCCCTCCCACCCCTCCAGGGAGGCCCCGCCTGAGCGAGGAGGGTATCGGAAAACCATACTATTTACATGGTTTCGTGCCCCTCCCACCCCTCCAGGGAGGCCCCGCCTGAGCGAGGAGGGTATCGGAAAACCATACTATTTACATGGTTTCGTGCCCCTCCCACCCTCCAGGGAGGCCCCGCCTGAGCGAGGAGGGTATCCGAAAACCATACTATTTACATGGTTTCGTGCCCCTCCCACCCCTCCAGCCCCTCCACCCCTCCAGGGAGGCCCCGCCTGAGCGAGGAGGTATCGGAAAACCATAATATTTACATTTTTCGTGCCCCTCCCACCCCTCGGGGGCCCCGCCAAAGCGGGAGGGCATCCCATACTATTTACATGGTTTCGTGCCCCTCCCACCCCTCCAGGGAGGCCCCGCCTGAGCGAGGAGGGTATCCGAAAACCCTACTATTTACAGGTTTCGTGCCCCTCCCACACCTCCAGGGAGGCCCCGCCTGAGCGAGGAGGGTATCCGAAAACCATACTAGTTACATGGTGTCGTGCCCCTCCCACCTCTCCAGGGAGGCCCCGCCTGAGCGAGGAGGGTATCCGAAAACAATACTGTTTACATGGTTTCGTGCCCCTCCCACCCTTGCAGGGAGGCCCCGCCTGAGCGAGGAGGGTATCGGAAAACCATACTATTTACATGGTTTCGTGCCCCTCCCACCCCTCCAGCGGGGCCCCGCCAAAGCGAGGAGGGCATCAAGAAAATGGGTCCCACGAAACCGTTAATCTCTTTATGTGGGGAACTCCGTTAGCATAATTCTCTAGGCCTGTCATGTTGATATCGTCGACATGTTGTGCCGTTAACAGATCTTGACTGAATTCAAACTCAGAATCGTAACTTGTCGGTGTGAGGCCTATAGCTCGTGTGGTCGCACGAAGCTTGAGGGAGAACGCTCTTGGGGCGTCGCCCGCCCCTGGCTTGAGGCACCTGAGGCAGTGACGGCTTTCATCGTAAGAAGAGAAGCCTGGTAGTGCACGAAGCACCTGGGCGCTTCCTGGCGGAAGAGTGAAGCAAACCATGCGAGTTCCCTCGCAGGTGGCATGAGCAAGTTCCTCATAGGTCAGACCTTTGAGGAACGCTTTGTCGATATCCATAGATGCTAAGATCCATTCTGGATGACATGCCGCCTCACTTG